AACCTGATATGCAAATTGGCCATATCAGGCCTGATAAAGCTTGATCAGGCTAGATATGGCTTGATCTGGTTTGATATAATTTGATCTGGGCTGATATAATTTGATATATTTATAGACAATTTATTGATATATGCTGATATGGCTTGATATAATTTGATATGCCCGTTTTCTAATTTTTTGATGTTCTGATACAATTTTATCAAGCCGGATCTGACTTAATAGTATCAAATAAAGCCAAATCTGAGTGATAATTTTGTTATACAGTCACTAGGTTTTTTAAGTCTAAGAATCGGCAAATTTACATTTTAAAATTTTTTTAATTAATATATTTTATGGCAGATTTACGGTATAAATTATAAAAAAGATAAAATGTATAAATTTAAAAAAAAAATTTTGAAGTTGCTCTAAAAACTCTTTATTTAATTTTGTACTGTTCAATTTTTTCACAAAATATTTTTTAATTGAGAAATTGATATTTTAAAATTTTTTATTTATAAAATTAATTTTTTTATCAATTTAGTAAAAATAAATGAATTTCATATATTTTTCGAATTACTCAACATTTTTAAGAAACTTTAAAAAAAAAAAATTACTGTTGTAGAACCAATCGACTACCGTTTTTTTTATCTGGTTTAAAATTTACAAAAGGTAGAATTTTTTTTTATTTTTTAAATACAATATGAAATTGATATTATTATTGTTTATCATGCAATATTATGTGAAATGAAAAAATCTATTGTGTATTATTTACATTTTTATCATGAAATTTAATTTTCAGTTATTTATTGATGTATTTTTAAAATTATTTGAAAATTCTGAAAAAAATTAAAATAATCAATGAAATATTATAAATCTGACAACATATTAGTTAGTTACTAAGACTTCACCATGGAGCAATCACATGTTCCGCACTGTCGAAACTAGTATTAAAAGTCTTCGGTAGATGGCGCATGGTCGCGGAATTGTTCTTTTCTAGATACTTGACTTTGAAGTGTTAAGTTCCAAAAAGAGTAGAATTTTTTTACTCTATTACAGAGTTTACCTGTTTTTGAATAAAGTTGGACAAACAACTAAAAATACTAAAATACATTTCATATTAACTACGAATTAGTGTTATGAATATTTTTTAAAAAACAAAATAAAATCAGAAATGATAAATTTTATTTCTCCTTCTGGGTTGTCTACATCTTAATATGGCCATATCAGCCCTGATCAGACCATATCAAGTCTGATATGGCCAATTTCCATCTCAGGCCTGATATGGACGGCCCATATCAGGCCATATCAGGTCTAATCAGAATATTTTTTCACGGGCAAATTACTTTCTGTGCGGCAAATAAAACATCAAAGGATTTGAGGCTTTTGAGGTTAAAACTAGAATTTGTTTTTTGACTCGGGCTTTAAGTTTAAAGTGATCGAACAAGGAATTTCAAAGTAATTCTCAAAAAACGATTTTTAACTTCCCGCTAAAAAAATCGAAGATTTTCAAAAATCGGGAAGTTATTGTTTTCACCCCGTTTTGCAAAAATCGAGTTTTCATTAGATCTTGACGTTTGAAGGTCACAGGAAGCTTCCCTGAGTATCCCTGCGAGGTTGTCACGGTGTGTGTGTGTGTGTGTGTGTGTGTGTGTGTGTGTGTGTGTGTGTGTGTGTGTGTGTGTGTGTGTGTGTGTGTGTGTGTGTGTGTGAGTTATTGTTTTCACCCCGTTTTGCAAAAATCGAGTTTTCATTAGATCTTGACGTTTGAAGGTCACAGGAAGCTTCCCTGAGTATCCCTGCGAGGTTGTGTGTGTGTGTGTGTGTGTGTGTGTGTGTGTGTGTGTGTGTGTGTGTGTGTGTGTGTGTGTGTGTGTGTGTGTGTGTGTGTGTGTACTTGTGTGTAGCCAGCATACACATTATATTGCGTGATTGCTTATAGTCTAGTCAACCAGTGCCTTTTTGGTCAATTTTTTTCTGCAGTCTTCGAAAATTATAATTGAGGTGACATTCGATTCGAAATGGGATCTAAATGATTTTTGAAAAAAATGAAGTTCTGTTTGCAAAAATTGCAAAGGTTATTAAGAATTAACTGAAAAAAGGGGGTTTAGTTTTTTACAAATATCTTAAAAACTAATAAAGATTTAAAAAAATTTTTAAAAATTCAAAAAGAGGAGGAAATTTCTTAGAAAAAAGTCTGGACTCCCGGAACTGTAGGACCAATATTAACCCTTCGTTGATCGCGCTTTTATTAGTTTCTTGCTCGCATTATAGCGAGTCTCTGTAGGTTGAGTAGTTGTTAGGCGGCGATTCGCTCATATATGAGCGGAATTCCTAAGATTTTGTTTTGTACGACATTTGTAACTATACAAAAATTTTTAACAGTGCAGACAACCTCAAGCGAAACTTGCGATGAAAGGAGGTATTAATAACAAATTTATTAATTTTCAAAAATGTAAAGATTTTAGCATAAACTTTAATTGTAAACAATTTAATAGGGAAATAATAATAATTAAACCGTCTTTTTCCTATGAAAATAAAATAGTTAATATTTATAGTCAATAAATAATAGGTATATAGGTCGTTGAATGAAATAGCTCGTGAATAATTATTCATTTGAGTACAACAATTTAACAGGAAAATAAAGTGTTGGCTATTAATTCAAGATGCCCTGTTTGGCAGGGTAGATGGTTGGGGTAAATGTGCAACGAATGACTTTCGCACGGCGCCTTTTTTCCAAAGTCGCTGGTAATACGCCCGTGTCAATAAAAAGAAATGGAGTATTTCCTTGTGTAGTCGCAGGGAATGAAATTGGATTTTACCTTAAAGTCGATGTACATATATACACGTATATGTGTCTGTCGACTGTCTAAATAAGAAAGTGTGAGTGTAAATGGGTATTGAAGTTCACAAGTAAGAGAAAGAGGGCTCTAAATACGTGTATGTTTTACAAAGAACTCCCGAATGCTTTCTTTCTTTGCTGTATACTCGTATCGCTTTCTTTTTTCCTTAAACTTTTTATATTTTTATTGCCTTTTTCTTTTTAGTTCATCCTATCTCTGCTCTTGACATCTTCTACGTCTCACTGCGCTTATGTGTGTCGTTTGCTAGCCACGAGTAACTAGAGTCATATCACTGCCCTTTAGATTACGTGCTCTTCGCCAAACGTTTTCGGTCCATTCTTATTACACATATTTACTTACTATCTCCGTTTATCTACGCATACACTCATACACACAAGAGATTTTAAATTACATATCGTTTCTTATTTACATTAGATGACATTAAAAATGTATCCGTCGAATGCCAAGGATCGATATCGATGTCGTCCTTTTAATAACTTTATTTTTTGATTTTACGCTGTGTTCATCGTTTTTGCCAACCAACCTCTTGGATATTATATTTACAAACTCCTTCAGCCTCGAAATCACGTGAAATATTATTTCTTCTAAAGTAGTATTAGATACGCAGAGAACCGAGTAAAAAAGTTCTACTTGCTCTTCTTATCTTTGAAAATTTCAAAGTCAACGATTCCTTTGATTATTGAAGATGTAATTATTGAAGATTATTGAAGATGAAATTCTTGAATACATCTTCGAATCAGAAGTATATTATATTCGTGAGACACAATCGAATCCCACACGGAGAGAAAAATAGATCATATTCCTATGTCAGAATGGTAACCATTACTATGTTACATAGTAACGGAAATTTTGCAAGAATCCTGTGTAAATTTGCTGAAAAAAATCTTAGAAAATAGGGTTCCGTGCGACTGCTGTGGTATTTTAGCATCGGCGCGGCCGTGTGACAAAAGTCGCGCGGATCCCTATTTTCAACATTAAATAAAAATTATTTTTTTTGAAGCTAAAGTTCCGGGAGTCGAAACTTTTTTTCAGATATTTCCTTCTCTTTGAGGATCTTTTTTCTCATTTTTGATATCACCTATAGTTATTGAGTGATTTACGAAAAACTGAGATTTTTTATTTTGTTTATGTTATTTGTTAATAACAAATTAGATTTTTTATTAAAAAAATAAAAAAACGATAACTGTATTGTCAGAATTTAATTCTGCATCGAATGAGTGATTGTTCATATTTTTATTGCAGTTTTTAAGATTTTTCTCAGCAAATTTACACACGATTCTCACAAAAATTTCCATTACTATTCAACCCATGTAGGAAAGTATGGCGGGCCCAGGCTTGGCCCAACTATGCAGAACTCTGGGCCAGGCTTGTAAGCCAGAGTTGGTCCAGTCTTGGTTTAAATCTGGAATGATAATGCTAGCCCAAACCTGGTTACCACGACTGGCCCATACCTGGTTACCAGGATTGGGCCACAGTTAATTTTCAAGCCTGGCCAATCCCATTTGATAAAAAATGATAAAAAAGAATTTTTTTAGTGTCATTCTTTTATTTTAATTTTGATGTAGAGATAACACAAGTTTAGACCGTTTGAGTCTTAATTTAGACCTAATTCCCGCTTATTATAGAAATAAAGTGAAAATCGCATTGGTTCTAACCGAGACTCGAACCCGAGCCGCGCGCATGCCAAACCTTTTTTTTTTTTGTAAAATCTCGTTATGTCATAATCTATTTACATAAATATATACATCTTAGACATACATAAATAATTTTAATGATTGTGTTTTTTTTTCTTGAGGTTCCTTCTTTTATAAAGATATACCTGCTGTTGTAATACTTAACATTAAATACATAATATATTCATCTGTGGTAAATTAAATTATTTCATATCTGATAATTGTTTCTTACATATTTTTAGTTATAGGAAAAGTATTATTAAAAAACCTATTTATGAAAGTTGTGGTTATAGGCACTTACTTGGGTTTATGTATATGTTTAATTTTAATTTTAGTTATAGAAATTTGAGTTGAAAAAATTAAGTAACTATGTTTGCTTATCAATAGTGTGAAAAATTTTCAATGTTTGATATGGTAATTTATGTTTTAATTCAAATGGAGAATTATGAGATCTAATTTTAGTGATATTTTTTGTTAGGTCACTTACATTAAGTTGGTTTTCGTAGAATTTATTAGCTAGGTCTTCGATATAGTCTTTAATGTAGGGAATTCCCGTTCTGTTATGTAGTTCGGTGATTCTTGTGTATCTGTTGGCCGACAGGATGAGTCTCAAGCATTTATTCTGGTAAGTTTGAAGCAGTTTGATGTTTGTTGGAGCTGCACTGCACCAAACTGGGGCAGCATACAGCATTATGGGTCTTAACAACATTTTATGTATCAATGCTTTGTTGTGTTGGTACAGCGGTGAACCCTTGACCATTAATGGATAGAGTTTCCTTTGTACGAAGTAAACTTTTCTTATTACTTGTGAAATATGAGGTTTGTACGTTAACCTTCGGTCTAGGTGAACACCTAAGTATTTTACCGTGTTGATTGGTTGTACTATATGCCCATACACTTTTATTGGCTGGAAAAGCCTTAGCTTTTTTGAGCTTTTGTGAAAAACAATTGCCTCCGTTTTAGTAGTATTGATATTTATCTTCCATTTTTTATAATATTGTTCAAGCATGTTGATGTGTATCTGGACTTGTTTCGCTGCTACATTTATACTAAACGAATGCGTGTAAATGCTGGTATCATCCGCAAACTGTGCAGTTTTTGTTTTTGAGAAAGTGGGTAGATCATTCAGGTAAATGTTGAAAGCCTTAGGGCCTATAACAGACCCCTGAGGTACCCCAGCTTTGATTCTTCTTTTGGTTGACTTAGATCCGTTGATGACTACTTGGAGCTATCGATTGCGCAGGTACGAGTTGATGAGTCTTATTAAAACTGGATGATAGCCTTGTTGAATCATCTTGAATATGACACCTTCAATCCACACTCGATCGAATGCTTTCTCAATGTCCAGAAGTAGTAGTACTGTGGGCATTTGTTTGTTAAAGTTTACGCTGATATCATTGACTATTCGGAAAACTTGCTGGACAGTATTTCGTTTGGCTCGAAAGCCAAATTGATGATCTGCTGTTGTTTTTGCTTTCCTTTCATGATTATCTAGTCTTCTGAGCACAACCTTTTCAGTGACTTTGCTTAGAGTGGGAAGTAAGCTAATGGGTCTGTAGCTGCTGGGCTCTGAGAGGTTTTTGCCAGGTTTCGCAATTGGAATTATGTTGCTTGTTTTCCAGTGACTAGTGAAGTTTGACAATTTGAATGATGCATTGATGATGTACATAAGTTAGACAAGAGCCTTTTTTCTAAGATTTTTAAGCACGATATTTTGTATATTATCTAACCCTGGGGCTTTTTTGGATAGTAATTTTCTGATTATCTCCCAAAGTTCTTTTGGAGAGGTTCTAAAGTTTGCCCAGTCATCTGAGTTTGTGCTTGAGAGATATTCCTCAACTGACTCCGTGATTTTGTTTTGCTCTGGTGTGTTATTGATAGTGTCAATGTTGTGTACTTCTTCAAATCTTGATGCTATCAAATTTGCTTTTTGTTCATCAGTAACAGCTTCCACGTTGTCTTTTTGCAGCGTAGGTACAGAGGTGAACTCTGTTTTAAAGATTTTTGTCATTCGCCATAACGAGTTACCTTTGGGATTCAGTTTTTCCAGCTTTTTCGTCCAAGCTTTGTTTCTCGCGTCTTTGATTTCAGCACTCATTCTATTTATTAGCTTCTGAGCTTCAAGTTTGTATTCATTGATTCTTGTCTTTTGCCATTTTTTGCGGATTCTATTTCTGTCCTGTATAAGTTGTTTCACACCAGAAGGAAGTTATCCTCGGAGTTGCTTGGGTGTCTTATTGGTTAGTTATTGGTTAGTCGCTGTACTTCTTTATCCAGTTGTTCAGCGCTTTCAATGCTTTGATTGATTTTTATTTTTTCATTTAATAGTTTTTTTGAATTTATCCCAGTCAGCGTTATCATAGTCTAACATTTTCTTGATTGGAATATTATCATCCTAGTTTCCTAGTGACAGGATGATTGGGTTGTGACCGGAGTTTAGTTCATCTAGAACTTTTAGTTCACTTGCTTGGCTAACATTTTTATTCACGTATATATCAATAGTAGTTGGAGTCATGTTGTTAGTTGGATAATGCGTGGGTTTGTCTGTGAATTGCACACAATAGTTATTTTTCAGTGAGTAGTTGTATAAGACAGTACCCCTCGGATTAATCCTATGACAATTCCATGTGCGATGTCTGGCATTTAGATCTCCAATTAATAACACTTTTTCTCCTATGTTAAATATGTTATCTAAATCCTTAGCTGTAAATTTAACCTGTGGACTACAGTAGGCTGAGACGACATATAATTGACTAGTTAATTTAATAACTAAGCACTCTAGTGGTATAGATTTTTTTAAATTTTATTTCTGTGTATGATATGTTATTCTTAACTAATATTGCGATGCCACCGGCCGCGCTGGTTTTATCTCTTCTGATTATTGAGTAGTTTTTAATTTTAATTCTATCAGTACTGTTTAATCTAGTTTCATGGATGAGAAATAAGTCTATGCTCATGCGATCTAAAAACTCAATTACCTCTCCTATCTTATTTTTAAGTCCATTTGAGTTACAGCTGCATATTTTGGGTACACCTATGGTGAAGCCTCAAGTTTTTTACTGAAGTTCACAAAGACTTCAAACTGTTGAGTTTTATTTCTACACTTGAGTAGTTTTTGCTTGAGATCCTTGACTAGGCTTAACATTTCATTTATGTCGCATATTTGCTCAATTTCTTGAATTTCATTAGCCAGCGAAATAATATCTGCTGTCTGATTTTGGTTAGTAGCACTTGGGTGAATCTGAAACTGATCTCGGTTAATCTGATGCCTATTGTTACTTGTACCATTACTATGCCTGGTATTTATATTCGATAAATTATTGTTATAGGTTTGTGTATAATTGCTTGTAGCTGGTGTGTTATTTGCATCTGTGTTGAACTACATATTTGCTACGCCTCCATTGGCTGGTTTATTCATTGGAGGAAAGTGTTGCACGTTGCTGATGTCTGAGCTTGGATGAGCAAATTTCTTTTTGCTTTTCTGATTTTGGTTATTTTGGGTTTTGCTAATGATATTTTTGTAGGTCGGACAGTCTATGAAGTTGGCTGGATGTGCCCCGCCGGAATTAACGCAATGAACTGGAGTTTCCCTTGTTTTTACACAAGTTGATGTTAGGTGATTGCCTGCACACTTGAGACAAGCTGGTTCAGCAAAACAATTAGAGGTAGCATGACCCCACTCCTGGCAATTATGACACTGTGTGATTTTCCGTTTGTTACGGTAATAGTCCCAACTTACTTTGGTGCTTCCTAGATATCTTGCATTGGTTTCTAGTTGTGATAGTTTGACATCTGCATTTACAGTAGCCATATACATGGGTTTTTTCGTACCTTTCATAGCATCCCCCACGGAAAAAGTATATATTCTGGAATATATTCTGAAATATATTCCAGAATATATCCGAGAATATATTCCGAATATACCCCGTTTTGCCCGAGGAATATATTCCGGAATATATGGGCATGCACTCACTTGTATTCCGTTTTATTCAAAATTTTTCTCTGGTCTATAGTCTGGTCTGTCGTCTATATACTGAATATATTCAGGTATATATAATTTTGAAATATATTCCTTGGGCAAAACGGGGTATATCCGGAATATATTTCAGAATATATTCCAGAATATATACTAGAATATATACTTTTTCCGTGGGGGATTACAATTAAAAACTTGGATACCTATTTCAGTAAGTTCAGTCTCAATATCATCTGGGTTTGTATCCTCGTGTAGTCCAATGATGACAAAGGTCTCCTTTTATTTTGCTTGTGAGCATACGTATGATGCTTAATGTTTTCGACTTTCCATTGGTTTTTTATTGCTTCATAGTCTGTCATTGACGTTGTGTGTAGTTCAACCTTATCTAGTTTATATCTAATATGGAATTTACCTTTTATTTGGTCTCTTATCGCCTGGAGGAATTTTGCGTGTGATTGGACATTTACGTGTACGACGAGTGGAGGTGGCTTAACAGTTTTTTTGGTCTGTTTATGTTTATTGGCAGGATTTTGATTATCTTGATTATCATCATCTTCATGGATACTTTCTTCTTCACTACCATCCATTTCGATATCATTATTTAGTGGTGCCAGAGGTGTAAATCTGTTTGAGATTTTAACGACTGATGGGTTTTGCGTTGCGTCTTTTGGTTTCTTGGGGTCTTTCATACTTAAATATGAGTTTGATGTTCGTTTCCTTTTAGCAGTAATAATATTAAAGTTATTTTGTTGATTATTAGCATTATTAACCTGCTCATTTGTTTGATCATTATTAGTCATGTGCTCATGTGATTGCACTCCACCGTCTCCCATTGGATTCAGTAGGTTATTTGAGAGGTTTGATTCCTCTGTTTGTATATTTACTTTTTATTTATTAAGTTTTGTACTTAATTCAGCTTTTAAATTTAAAATCAGTACTCTTGACTAATTATTATTAATATTCAGCTTGATTTCTACTTTTGAAAAAGCTTTAAGTGAGATAAAGTATTTTGTAAACACAATAGGCTGCATGCGCTACGAGAGCTCCGTTGTGACTGGGGTATGCCAAACCGATAACTATCGCCTACACCGTACGACTGATAAGTTGACGCACATCTCATCATTCTTATAAGCTAAATCTATATGGTGACGAAGTGTGACGGTTTATTATTTATATAATTTCGACGTTTTAATTAGCGAATTGTCTAACTCCATTTTAGAGAATCTTCTATTTGTACGAAAATATAATTAGTTCAAAATTTATTATCACTTTAAAAAATCATTTAATATCATTATTATCTAATAGAGATATAGTATTTAGGTTTGAATCATTCAAATAATTTATAATTCAATTATGGCTACATCAAAATGTTAAAAAATCACCCTCTAAAAACTATGGAGTTAGACAAATTGCTAATTTGACTGTCAATTTATGTTATTAAATACTGTTTTTTGATGAAAATAAACTATTTTTTACAAATGTTTATAAGTTAAATAAATGCAAGAGTCAAGTTCTTATACTACTTTAGACTTTGTACATCGTTCTGTATATTTTTAATATCTTACTATAAATGTTAATGTGTAAATTATCAATATTAGAAATTCAACTGTAAATTATTATATTTTAATTTTTTTTGAGACCATTTTCCCGTAGCAATAGCAGGTGACTTCAATTCCTGGGGAGTAGACTGGGGTAGCAAGTTCACCAATACACGGGGAAAGGCTCTACTTGAAGCGATGGCCACACTAGATGTTGTCCTCCTTAACACTGGTGAGACACCAACATATTCAAAGGGAGAGGCAAGCTCTATAGTGGATCTTACGTTCGTCAGCAGCAGTCTTACAAGAGGAAACTATTCTTGGGTAGTTATGAACACCTACACTGCCAGCGACCACTACGCCGTTCTTTGGGAAGTATCAACTGGCCAGAACCCTCGAAAAGCAACAAGACAAACTAACGCAGTTGGATGGAAAATGAAAACATTTGACCCAGCTACCTTGATAGTAGCCTTAGATACCGACCCGACTACCACAGGGAGTGCTGAAGAGAAAGCAAAAGAGCTAATGAAGAGAGTGACCCAGGAGTGAACCATTATCCTATCGTCCACTCTGCATGTTAGACACGGCGGGTAAGATATTAGAGCGGATAATTCACCAAAGAATAGAAGCAGTAGTTGATCCACTCCTGACAGATAACCAATTTGGTTTCCGAAAAGGACGGTCAACCCTGGATGCAATAAACCTGATCGTCAACACAGCTAAGGATGCGATTGCTGGAAAGAGATGGAATCGCGGCACAAAAAAGTATTGTTTGGTGGCTGCATTAGACATCAAAAATGCTTTTAACTCTGCTAACTGGGACTGTGTAATGCGCGCCCTTGAAGAGAAACGAGTCCCAGGGTATTTGCGTAGAATGGTATCAAGCTAGTTCACAAACAGGGTCCTCAAATACGACACAAAAAGTGGTCCTAAGGAGTATGATATTACTGGTGGTGTACCACAGGGCTCAGTTCTAGGTCCTCTGCTATGGAACATCATGTATGGATGATCAAGGATGGTCTCCTGAAAATAGCATTGCCAGCAGAAGTGAAACTGGTAGCATATGCAGATGACATTGCTGTGGTGATTGTCGCGAAGCACCTTGAAGAGATAAATCTCTCCTTCGACATTACATTTAGACGGATTAACATATGGTATATCCATTTGGACTGACGCATTAGAAACGCAAGAATCTTGGAGAAAAGCGGGTCCAATTTACAGACAGAGCGCTCTGAGAGTTGCCAGTGCCTTCCGCACAATATCAGAAGAAGCAGTGTGCGTCATTGTCGGATCCCTGCCGCTT